TTGTTGCATGTCAGTTCTGGTTTGCTGGCTTTGCGATGTACCGGAGTGCGACGGCAAACGTACGTGAGAGGTTCAGATCGCAGGATAAGATGGATGAGATTTCTGATGAGATTGAGGAAATGACCGAGAAGGTCAAGAAGGAACTCGAAAACGTACGCCCTCACTTGCACGCATGCGCACGAAGATGCACGCTTTGTTCACAGCTACAATATAGTCTTGTAGACTACCAGAAGAGGATGCGAGATTTGAAGCCTTGATTGAGTTCTTCTCGTCAGTCGTGTTTCATGTTCCTTTTGAGAGACTCTAGCGTTCAGTCGTATACGTGGCGGGGGAGGTAGTTAGGATTGTTACTTGAACACTTTCACGATGTATGAGAATACTCATCGAAATCCACAGCCGCCCCCTTCCTCCTTGATGACGGGAGGTTACAGTACTGGTGGTGGGCATGTGTCTATTGAAGAGGCGGCTAGGAAAGCAGCACGAGCATTGATCTTAGCAGGGGAAGGGGATAGGTAAGAGGGGGCTAGATGATGATGATGAAAGGGAGGTAGGTACTGTGATGATACTGGTAGTGAGTCGGGGGACTACTATAGGGGAGGAGATGATGAGAATTGTGGCGATGGTGGTGGTGGAGTTCGAGGAAATACGCAGAGTCCCCACACTACCGCGTCGGCGCCAGTAGCAACACCATCACCGGTGGGATGCGGTGTATCAGCAGCAGTATCGGGTGATGGAGCGATGATGTCGTCGAGTGGTAGCTGCCAGTATTACGCGTTCCCGACTAGAGTGTATGCTCTGGCGGTGGGAGCTGATGGTGATAGATTTGCAGTGGGAAGTGCACAAAGGCACTCCATGAACAATTATATTGCGGTGGGGGGGATTAGATCCTGGGACCTTCGGATGTGTAACAGGGTGCTCATCTGCTTAGATAATTGATCCGGATTCGTCTGAGGCATCTGGATTGAGCGTATCAGCGACATGTCGGCACGGCTTTCCGCCGTCTCACGTGGGCTGTTTCGACTCCCCCTTCTCCCCCTAGGATTTTCAGGTACTATGGATGCCCGCCACAGCCGGCCCGTTGAGTAGCGTCACCTTCGCCTCAACATCAACAAGTCTCCGCTTATGGCGACTACAGCAGCCAGTCGGGGGTCCTGCTGATGGATCCGTCTCCCCAGAGGTAACTCCCGTCTCGTAGCCTGACAACTGGAAGATATCGTTCCAGGATGACGAGGATGATCAACAGCATCAGCAACAATCGGGTACTGGTGGTGGTGGTGGTGGCCCGGCTCTACCAAGCAGTGTGGAACAGATAGCCAAGCTGCAGAATACACATAAGGTGGTGATGTTTAGGCTCATGCTTGGTGCTGTTGGTAAAGGCAAGTGTCTGATAGACTGTGAGCGCGCCCATGACGTCATTCGATTGGTCCGTGGTGTCACCGTCGCGAGTGGCAGCTGCTGCTGTTGATACTACCATCACGTTATGGGACGTCAGTCGGGAGAAGATGGATACACAGATGATTGCTCATGACAAGGCTGTGCTAGATGTGGCCTTCGCGGCAGACAGTGATAAAGTGAGTGTAGTCCCATACCACTCCTTTGTCAGATCGTTATCCGCATGTCAGATATTCGGCTCTGTATCCGATGATGGCTCACTTCGGCTATTCGATTCTCGGGATCTAGATCATTCTACTATAATGTGAGTATTCTCAACACTTCCGACCTGCGGCACTCCGGGTGAAGGTACGAGTCGCCATCAGCACCAGGATCGAACACTCCGCCGCCGCCTTTGTATAAGCTTTACTGGAATAAGTGGAACCCAGTAGGTGTCCACTCCCAGTAGTGCAATTTGGTCACGTTAAACTTCTCAGCATTTGATCGCTACCTTCTCGGAAGACTCTATTTACGGTCTAGTATTCGACACCCGAAAAGGTGCTATGATGATATGAAGGGCTTGCATTTGGGAGGCGGCGATTGCGACAGGTTTCGAGTCCATTGGCCTGAACCCGATCTGCGAGGGTAGCCAGGATACTGTATGCGCCGGGACCAATGCGATGGCTTGGTGCAACTCTTATGCGTTGGCAACATGCCATGCTGATGGGTGAGATGATTTCTGTCACTTCGCCACGAAGTTATTGCCTGCATCGTAGGAGTGTGAAGTTGTATGACCCATTAAGAAGATATTCGACATCGGAGAAACCATTGCTGTTTGGAGAGATGAAGGCGAGATGGATTCGAGTTCGATCCCTGGTAGGTGCATTTTTCCTCATTTCGTCAGGTATCAGCGCCAGACAAGCCAACAGAGTCACCCGTTGAGTTGGTTAACATGGCCTGGATACCGCCGGCATCTGGTGGCCCAGCCAGGCTAGGCCTCATCCATGGTCGGACACTACAAGTAATAAAAAAGATATCTTGTATCGTGTATACCACTACTAGGTGTTATCGGCCTGATGGAGGCGACGAACAGCGTCGTCGTCGTCGTTGATTAGCAGGCTCCCTCTTATCTCTATATCATTTTGTGCAATGACATTTGAATACTACATTTGGGGAAGACAAGCTGTTGTTGAAAGTATCAACAGTATTATCAGCATGACTCCATCGTAGTCCTTTCTGGCTAACTATGATGATGCATATGTATCAATCATACTGTTAATGATTAGGAGGGAGAGATCTGTCCTCGCAAAATCCATACCACACCATCGTCAACATTGTCCCTTTTCATTCGTCGCACCTCGTTTCATTCTCGTCATACGTAAGTGACTGTCGTGAAGTAGCCAAGAAGGTCGTCTATAAGAGCAGACCATGCGTAGTATCGAGTCCCTGTAGTTAGTGTATCCGTTCCCTTTGTCGTCATCATCATCACTACTCGGTATGTGGCGATACTCCTCATCATTATCACTATCACACCAGTCATCATCATCATCGTCGTTATCTCTGCATCGTTATCATTTTCGTCTCTCATCGGGCACTTTTTGAATCACCTCTAGAGGTCATTGGTTCGTTGTTGATCATTCTGAAGTCTGAGGTTCTTACCACCTCACTAGAAAGTAAGAATTCATCATGCGTGTATAGTAGTGAGAGTAGTATATTTCTCTGTCGTTTACGTCGCATTGGAACATCGTCATCATCCTGAGTATCAGCAGCATTGTTGAGTGGTAGCTGTTGCTCAACCTTTCACAATGCTATGAAGAAGAGGAGGAGGAGGAGAACACTGTGTGTTCGCGCAATTCAACCGTTTATTATTATTGGACACTTACCATGTTGTGGCTCGGATCATAGTGGAGGAGGAGAACATGAAATCAAGGATGAGAGCCTTGTTGAGTTGACGAGCCTTCACTAGGACTGAGTTTTTCAGTGGTTTTTACACACTAATAAGAAATGAGGCTTCTTGCCTTCTCGTCAACTGGACCTGTTCTGGGGTCTTTAATCATGATAGTTGTATGTATTTTGTTGCAACACACTGAGTGTAAGGTGGCACACACCCTTCCGGGTGGCGTGCCAAAAGAGGTTAAGGCGGCGATGAAAGAGATGAAGAAGGAAGTAAGCATCACACGTTGACGAATGTCTCATTTTTGATGCTGTTTTGTATTAGCAAAAGGTCACTAAGCGTCTATTGTCTGACCATACTTGTGCACTACGTAAGAGCCTTATGGAGCTCTTAGTAGATGTCAAGAGTGAGGACGTTGGCCTTGCCAAAATCAACATAATGGCTGAATTGGCCCTATGCAGCTGGTGGAGAGATGAGCACTATTGTAAGTATGAGTGTTTGTGGCGTAGTAGTTGGTTTTCTCGGCTCGGATGCTCATGGACCCGGGTTCGATACATCCGCGTTGCATTTTTCGGGTTTTCTCAGTGGCTGAGGAGAGGTTCGGGAAAGCTATCGAACTGACTGGTTTCAAGAAGGAAAAACAATTCGTCAACAATGGTAGTTCCTATACATCAAACCCGCGCAAGTTCAATTCCTCGTTAGGACTCGGTCACCTGCTCGTGGCTCACAATGCATCTGCCTACATGCTCGAAGTGAGTCGTAGTACAGGAATCCCCCCCCCCTCCCTTGCGTATTCTCTATGGCAGGGTAAGTTCGAGTCGGCCGCGGTTCATTTGAGATCTTTGAGGCGAATGATGCTGATGGACGAGGCCAAGGCCCTGAACGAAGTACTCCATAAACCACCGGTAGGGCAGAGGCACTCAACCTAGTCGTGGGATAGCTGCTATTGATGTTCAGATGGATCAGCTGAAGCCTTATGAACGGGAGCTTGTGAAATCTAATCCTGGTGATTTCCTCATCAATAACACATATGTATTGCTGCGAGCCTTTATGATGGGATAGTGGTCATTGACATTGTTATAGGTTGGTGTGGTATACAGAGGATGGGTCGTTGCTGCGAATCAACAGTTGAGGTTCTGTGAGGCAAATCTCGTCGGGCTTGATGAAGGCAGATTGGTAATAAAGCATCTCGCTTTTTGTAGTCGTAGCGAGAATTCACTCTGCACTGCATATTGTCAGGCCAAGAGGGAGAGGATGGGTGGTGACTCGGATAATCCGGCATACATGCAGGGTTTAGCTGCCGAGCCTGTGATGCCGTGGAGGAACTTCCAGTTAGCGCTCAATCTATATGAACGCAGGGAGGTGTGATGACCATTCTGTTGGTGATAATGCATCGCTCCGCTGTGATTATAGGAACTTCTGGAAGCTGCCAGGAGGGGTAAGACGCCGAGGAGCCCACAGGCGGCTGAGCTGATGGTTCGAGGCGGCCTCAGGGGCGGCGATTGTCCGACGTAGGATTTTACATGTGGTATTTCCCTGTGATATTTGGACGGTATCATCAGATACCCTCGTCTATGTGATTTGTTATTGGGATATGACGCCGCAGTATTAGTCGACGTTAGCACTTATGTGGCTGGTTTGTTCAACGCTGTCATTCAACTGGTCCCAATGAACGGCTCTAAGACGACCCAGCAGGTTGGGGTAGGTCTACCTCTGTCCTCGTGGGTCGATGATTCTGATTATGTGCCTTTATCAGACGTGTTCGAATAATGCTGGTCTCGCACTGGCCTTCCCTCTCAACGAGTCGGAGGACCCTGAGGATCCAATAATACTCACAACTGAGTCTGTCGAGGTAGAAGGGTATATTATGTGGGCGAGCGAGATATACTTTCGAATTGACAAATTATGGGTGAAGTTCCTTGTCCTTCTCTCTAGTTACCCGGTATTGCTCTCGGCAGCGAACCGGTTGTGGTGGATCCATGTTCGGAACCTAACCCGGCTATAACGAGATCGGGAGGTTCTTCAGATATCGTCTATGGTGAGGGTGAAATGTACGATTTAGTGGTGATTCGTGGCTCAGTGCTGGTAGTGGAGTTCTGGCATCCCGCGGTCACTCTGTTCGAGAGAGTGGCTATCATAGAGGGTACCCAAGCTCAGGCAAGGAAAGGTCGAGAGCGAATCAAGGTTCAAGAGGTTAGTGTTGCCGACTTGAATGGCGGAGATATCGGGATCGATCCCTGCTCATGGCGTTTTTATATGGTTTTTATGGTAGGTTACTAGTGCTATGATAGAGCGTTTGAAGGGAACACAATCACTGTGGTCGGAGGGGCTTGACCTCTATCAGCACAGACGTCCATTGACACCATTGGGCCCTGACGAGTTGGTAGAAGATGAGGTGTAGGTGTTAGGAAGGGTCGCGGGTTCGATCCCTGGTGACGACACTTAATGGCTGCTCTCTTCAGTATCGAATATCCAAGGCCCAAGAGTAAGAAAAAGCTGAAGAGAACGCGTAAGTATCAGCGATAGGGCTCCTATCCTATGGGAACTCCGTCAACATTCATTTGCATTCCACCATTTTCGGTATCTAGCCACACAGAAATGGGCGAACGTTTGGCTTTCCGTATGGACATACTGTCGAACGTGGTGGCATCACTCCCGTATGGGGAAGTGACGAACTGGCTCTTTTTCATTGAATGAATTGAAACTTATTATTGATTCTGGTCAGCGGATGCCCTGGAAGATTCGTTGGAGATCACCAATTTGAAGCAGCTGGTGAAAAAACTGAAAGGAGACCGAAAGGCGGCCATGAAGAATGCTAGTGCGAAGGAAGTCGCTGATATAGATGATGCTCTATCCTATGTAAGAAAGCGCGCGCCACTCTAATCGATTATATAATTTCTTCCCTGCCAGGCTGAAGAGCGACTTGATGATGCGTTCGAGGCTCAGGAGAAGTCGAGACTGATTGGCGATATCAATAGTAAGCTGAGTAGCTCTCAATCCGTGGTTCAAGCGTTGCAAATGTCGGGCGACATTAGTCGTTTGCAGGAGATGCAACAGCAGATCGCGCAGGTAGGCAACAGTGGTTGTTATTATCAACAGTACATCCGTTGCTGTATTGTAGCTCCGAGCGGCTTTGGAGGTGGCTCAGAGAGCTGAAGCCGAGTTCAGGGAAGAAAGAAAGCAGCGCAGAAGGGATCGTAAAACGACGAAGGGTAAACTCAATCAGAAAGAGTCGGAGACTGATGATGATGATGATGAAGAGAAGGAGGTCGAGTTGTAGGTCTTAACGTATGCTAATCATCTGGTCACCGAACCAGGATAGTAGCTCAGTCTCTCATCGTGGCGTTTTCGAACTTTCCCAGCATGTCTTCGGGCTGGCAGTTTATAACTTCAAAGTTTTCCCATTTTGATGTTTTACTTATCATCGTACTAGCTCTGGTGTCGAGTTAATCAGTGTGATTTAAATGGTGGGTGGTCAAGGCTATTGTTACGGTTCTACTACTTGTAATGTTCCGACAGCAAAACCGGAGCTGCAGTGTCTTTGTGGGGAATGTTCCGTAATACTGGAGGCATCAACATGTTCGCACTGACGAGTTCAGTTACGATGTTGATGAGGAACAGTTGAAGAGCATCTTCTCAACGGTCGGTCCTGTTGTGAGCTTTCGGCTCATGCATGATAAGGTCACTGGGCGACCTAAGGGATACGGATTTTGCGAGTAGAGATGCTCGTTTGCGGTGAAGGGAATTTCCTGTCGTATCAGGTACGCAGATCAGGAGACTGCATACGCTGCAATGCGTAATCTCAATAACGTGGAGTGTGGAGGCCGGCCGCTTCGAGTTGACTGGGCTGACCATGAGTTGCGTAACACGGAAGGTTAGTAGTGGTTGGTTGTAGCTGGCTGCCTATTGGTTGTTTCCAGGAGTGCAGCGATCGATTCAACGCAGTGGCGCTGATGTTGGGCGAAGCAATGTGAAGGTGAGGAGGGGAGGCTGCTGCTGCTGCTGCCATTGAGCTCAGCTGCTGTCACGGTCCTGTATAGGTGAATAATAAGAAGCTTCGAGAGTTCCAACAGAGACTGACAGATGAAAATGCAGAGCATCTGGCATTAGATGTAGTGTTAACAAGGGGGATGGGAGGAGATTCCAGGGCTTTTGACAGGTCCAAACCCACAGTGAGATAGCGGCCTTGTTGAATCAATGGTCTACAGTGGAGTTGTACCAGTTCCTTGGCCAGTCACAACAGTTCGTCAGTGAAAGCCCAGAAGCAGCGCGTGAGAGGACTGGGAAGCTGCTGGAGCATGCTAGCGCTGTTGCATCATAGGGTCTCTGTTCGTGGCGCATCCTCAGCTGCCGTTGGCGATCAACCATGTTGCGTACTTGCTGGGATTTACCTCGGAGCCGACCTTCCCGATGACGCCGGATGATATGATGTAATAATGTTAGAGGGGGGATTTGAACTAGGGACTTTCCGATAGTTGGTTGGCTTGCATATCCATTGGAGTGATCGATATGCAGATATGCAGAAGAGCGTATCAAGGCACTGAAACAGCATCGAGTATGTCCTGTAAAGCCCATACAGCCTCCCCGAGCTGTCCCCATCAGTCTGGTAACCGACCCCACTGCTCAGCTCCAGGCTGGTAAGACCATCAACTCATGAACCCTCCGGTCGCATCATTGCTCCTCCAGGCATTTCCAATCCTATGATGATGAGCGGCGTGTTGCCAGCTGGTGTACTCGCTGCAGGGGCTAGCATTGCTGGTGCAAGGTAAACGCAATTTTGTAAAGTCTAGCGGAGCGATGCATGTATTTTTATTACAGAGCAACAACGGTTGGTACCATCTCTCGAGTGACTTCTATTGGTACGAGCGGATTAGCCCCTCATCATGCAATGAAGAAAGTGAGTGGCCTTATTGTACCATATCGTTGTGGTTACTGACATGTCTCTCAGCCTGCTGTGGACATCGCAGCGTTGCCGGCCGACACGAAGGAGGCTTTACGCAAGCAACTAGCACAGATGACTCCAGCTGAGGTGAGTGCTTCTAGAGCTGCTTTTAATAGGCCTAATTCACGTCTATTATCAGGTTGCTAGCCTCCCTGCTGATGTACGAGAGATCATGCAACAACTAGCAGTCTCTACTGGCGGCTCTGCTGTTGGGAGTGGTTCTGTACCACGATAACAAATGTTTCAAAATAGATCGCGTGGGGTTGTCAATACAAATCTCATATTTCTGCTGTGCAGTGCTTATCTCATGTCACTTACAACGACAATACCCGAAACCGCGATGGTTCGGGATCCGCTCGCCCGGAATAGGTACGTATCACGACATTTATTATGCGATGGTTACGTTGTCATCACACTTCAGCGATATGTTATTCATCTTGATCGTGCTGGCGGTAGGCATGCTGTTCATAGTGCCCATCTTGCGCTTCTCTCCGGAAGAGGCAACAGAGACCGTCACTGCGCCACGAAAATCACACAGACAAATCCGTGATCACTACTCATCAGGTGAACTCCACTGTAGTCTCTACCCTCCAGCACTCAATGGCTAGGCCCTGTAGTGGCAGCTGTAGTGGGCGTGATGAGAGACATAGCGGCTGGCTTCGACCCTTCGGGCTCTTACTCGAGGTAAGTCCACGAGGCAACCCCGACGGTAATCCGTTTTCTCTAGAGTTAGTTCCGAACCCGACAGTGAAAGCTACGAGTTGCAGGTAGGCTCTTGTAGATGATAATGTTGCATCGTATGTTGATGACAGGAACCAATGAGCAATTCATCATCAAGTCCAAGAAGACCATTGCGAATATCGGTAGGAAACTATTTACGTTGTATATGCTTAGTATTGTTTTTGATGGATAGGAGCAGTTGTTGACGACGAGAAAGAAGGTGTCGCCAGTAGAAATGATAGATCTTCTCAGTGGTGATTGAGGAACTTCACATTCTCACATGATCCATTCTTTATACGTTACTACTTGTTCGTGTTCAAATCTTTAATAATACATTTCACTAGTGAGACACATGAGAGAGATATTAACTCTCCCTGTAGAAGCTTCCACGCTAGGGTATTTCCCATTTGAACACTATCATATTTTGTACTACCTACGAGATTGCACAACACCGCAGTTCTAAGAACCATTCGGTTTTCATTGATCCGAATGCAGTTCTTGATAGTTATTCCTCATTCCCATGAAGATAATAGAACACGACTCAGAAACTTCCATTCATCATAAATCAATCAGAAATGGTATGAGCAACACTGATAAATAGAGAGTAGAGCAGCACAGGTCATCGACAAGAACATAATATTGGATGAAAATCACCCAACCCCAGAGGTAAGGTGGGCTAGATACATATTGTCAATAACTGTGTAAACTAAATATAAAGGAACGATAGAGCTAATTCATCATCGTATAATGCAACAACAGTTAGAATGATGATTACTGGCTCTTCTGAGCTACCTTATTATTGATAGCGTTCTTGAACTCATCATAGAAGACGAGAACCAAAGCAGCACCAACACCACGGAGCATGTTAGAAAGGCCACCCTTGAAGAAACCAGGGACACCCTCCTCCTGGAAGACCTTGACCCAGCAGTCCCAATTGGAAGAGTACTGGACAGCGTTGCCACCACGGCCGGCCATCATCATCATACGACGACGGACAGTATCGAAGGGATAAGATACCAAACCAGAAACAGCAGTAACGCTCTGGGCGAGGACGAACTTAGCAATAACATTAGCATTCTTCTCATCCTTGAACACAAGGGGCTTGATGGTATCATACAGGCCGAAGTAGGCACCACGATAAAAGATGATGCCTTGAATGGACATGCTGAAGCCCTGGTACATGGACCAGAAACCAGTCCTCTGGCAGGTCTTCGTGATAACGTCGATAAGGCCCTTAAACTCACGATCAGCTCCCTTGCCAACATCAGCAGCAAGACGAGTACGAGCATAATCGAGAGGATAGACAATACAAAGAGAACCGGCACCAGCAGCAGCACCAGAGAAGACATTGGAAGCGAGGAACTTCCAGAACTGGCTATGGGGATCGTACTTGGGGAACATGCTCTTGATGCTGTCCTTGAAGGCGAAGTTGAATGCCTGGGTGGGGAAGTAACGGAGGACGTTGGTCAAGTTGCCTCTCCAAAGACTAGACACGCCTTGCTCTTTGCAACATCGCATGAAACAGTCGCCGATGCCGTTATAACGAGCGACTTTACCAGAGACAATATCGGGGTTAGAATCTTGCGTCTGGAGGACCATCTTAACACGCTCTATGGGGGCCACCAAAGTCTTGGAGATAGCAGCAGAGGTACCACCGGTCATGAAGTCGACCAAGATGGGATACTTCTGGATGAAACTTTGTTCTTGTTGTTGCTTACTTTGAACTGCAATGGACATGTTGAAACGAAATGTCAACAAGGGAAAATACCAAAATATAAAAACTGAACACACGATATTCCTACTACGAATGAAACGCAAGTTCTACTGTGATAACTCTAGCGTCAACGTCGATGAGTTCCTAGCAGTTCATCGATCGTGAAGTTGCTCTTAAGCTCACAAGCTAAGGTTTATCACACAAAAAAAATATCATATTCTCGACCATCGACCAAATGGCCGTCATCAGATCAGATGTTGTGGGTATCACGATAGTGATGACTGTTCACTGGATGGAGCTTAGTTAAGACAGTGCGGCAATT